CTTGGGCCAAGTGACCCAGATATTTACTCTGGTCTGCACAAGTCCTTTGACATTCTGAAAGTATTTACTGAGCTGTTATAAATATTTCATGGAATATTAGAGCAGGAAGGGACTTAGGAGACAATCCAGATCTTCCCCTTCTTTTTTTTTTTTTTTTTTTTTTTTTTTTGCAAGTGGAACTCAGAGGTAGGTGAGACTTACTCTAATTCTTTTTCATTCAGACTGCTGCCATTGGGCAGAGCAGTGGTCAGGTGAAAAGGTGTGGGCACCTTTACTACTCACCTCTATCTTAACATGTGGCTGAAGAGCTAAAAGAAAGGGCCTATGGGAATGGCAGAGGCTTGCAGATAGAGCTCTCATACTTGACCCAAGAAGCACTTTCCTAATAGGCACTTAGGAACAGTATTCAAGGTGGGAACATTCTTATACCTTGGTTCAAACAGGTTGTAGAGACTGCCACTACAACTCAGCACAGGCCAACACCTAACTTTGACAACTTATTCCGCAAGGTCATTTCATGATTCAAGGGAGGCAAGTGACACTGTGGTTAGCTTTAATCTATCAAGCCCATTTGGGGAATTTATCCTATAAAAATAATGGCATCAGTATTTTAAAATATATGCATAAAGATGTTTATTAAAGCATTGCATGTAGCAGTATCAAACCACAACAGCAACTTGAAAAACTCCCAAACATTCATCAATATAGAGCTCACTGATTAAAACTGATATATCTGTTATGGTATGCTATGTAGAAGGCTAAAAACAGATCTGTATCTGCTTAAGTAGTTAAATCTGTAGAATAATATATATAATAAGATCTCATTGTTGTAAAAACAAGACAATCACAAAGCATTTATACATGTACATATATACCTCTGTTTATATAAATAAAGAAAATAGACTATTAAGACTTGCAACCCAGGGTAAGGGGCTGTATAGAAAACTACCTTACTTGTTTTTATGATTCATCTTTGTAATGTAATTTTTGCAGTGGTGAACATCCCTATGCTATTTTCTTTATTCATTAATCATAGACAACAATGATTACCTCACATAATTGTTGTTGAATCAAATGAAGTAATGTATGTGTATCCCTGGCCTTTGTAGGCACTTAATACATCATACTGTTATTTTTTAAAATTTTTATTTATTTAATTTTGAGAGAAAGACAGAGCACGAGCAGGGGAGGGGCAGAGAGAGAAGGAGATACAGAATCTGAAGCAGGCTCCAGGCCCTGAGCTGTCAGCACAGAGCCCGACCCGGGGCTCAAATGCATGAATGCGAGATCAGGACCTGAGCTGAACGCTTAACTGACTGAGCCACCCAGGTGCCCCACATATCACCATCATCATCATCATCATCATCATCATCATCATCATCATCTTTTGCTTTCACACCAGCAACTTTCTTTTGTCCACCTATAGTGTTTTATATAAAACAGTTCTATCTTAAATTTTTTTTTAACCTTTATTTATTTTTGAGAAACAGAGAGAGAGAACAAGCAGGGGAGGAACAGAGAGAGAGGGAGACACAGAATCTGAAGCAGGCTCCAGGCTCTGAGCTGTCAGCACAGAGCCTGATGCAGGGCTCCAACCCACGAATTGCGAGATCATGACCTGAGCCGAAGTCAGTTGCTTAACCGACTGAACCACCCAGGTGCCCCAAAACAGTTCTATCTTTAAAAAAAATACTGTCTTCGATATCCGTAGATCCAAATGTATAAAAAAATAAAAGCTACCATATTAGTTGAAATTAACACTCAAACTCTAATAGGACTAGCTTGCTAAACTTTAATAAGAACTAAGAAAAACTAAGATTAAGTAAAATTATCCAAGGAGCACTGTGGGAGTATGGCAAATTCCTTAACTTCTCTAACTATAAATGATCTCCTTTGTAAGATGATGATGATAATGTCTGCTATGCCTTCTTCCCAAATAATCTCAATATGTAAATATTTAAACATAGATTTCTTATCACTATTGTAAAGTGTTTACAAATGGAAAGGGTAGCAATACTATGAAATATTTCTAAATGTTTATTTTTTTGAAATACAAAGAGATCAATACATTTCATGTATCTGTGTTTAGTAATGTTTGATTTTAAGACTGCTAAAAATCATCTCAAATTTCCTATTACAGATTTATAAATGTTTTCCATGATTTCTCAGTAACTGCACTTCTATTCTTACAGCTAAATATATACTTAAATACATTACAATATGTTGAATAGAAAATAAGTAAATTATTCAATAATTTCAAGAACAATGTGTTTATTCCACTCCATAAAAAGCCTGCACTTGCATGCAGTTTCTTAACAATACAGTATTGTAAATGTAGATTCTCTTCCTTATGATTTTAACATTTTGTTTTCTCTAGCTTAATGTATTGTAAAAATATAGTATATATTACATATAACATACAGAAATCTGTATTAATCGATTATTTACGTTTTTAGTAAGGCCTTCAGTTGGCAATAGGCTATTAGTAGTTAAGTTTTGGGGGAGTCAGAAGTTATACATGGGTTTCTGACTATAGTGGTCAGTGCCCCAAACCTCTGTTGTTCAAGGGTCAATTGTATCTCTGTAGTTTGCTGAGTCTAGCAGCACATTCAAAAATCATGCCAAATGTTAGACAGTTTTTGTGAAATAGTTCTGTTCCATGCATTGCAAGATATCTAGTTTCCTTAACCTTTGCCCAACAAAATGCCCTGTATTCCCCAAATTACTATAACCCAAGACACTTCTACAAATTCCTAACATATCTCATAGGGAGATGTCTCTCAAATTATCTGTGTTAAAGGACGTTTTGTCCCTAATTTGCCTAAGATCTATACTTCTATACAAAATTAAAAACAGAAACAAGTTACTAGGAAAAAAGTGAAATAGAAAACAAATATAAAATATAAGTTCTATTTTATCATTACATTCAACAGAAAAAAATGACCCTATGGAATTACTATACAAGTTTCTAAATGGTTCCTCTCATTTTTGGCTTTTATCTCATTGCAGACCAATAATAAATAGTTTGCAGACCAGCTCTGGTCCATGGACCACACTTTAAATAGCACTGTCCTAAAGACAGTAGTATAGCTTTCACTGAGAATCACTGGTAAAAATAAAACAGTATATAAAAATGGTGGTATTATCCTTATCATTTTTTATTCTAAATATCCTTTAGCTGAGACTAAAATAAACAATTCTACCCACATTAACAATCCTATCTCAAAAATTCCTGTCTAAATCTTCAGACATACACACAAGTCCTATTTTCTCTTGTTTGTTTTTAAACGTTTATGTATTTATTTTGAGAGAGAGAGAGAGAGAGAGAGAGAGAGCGAGTACTCCCGTGCAGGCAGGGGAAGGGCGGAGAGAAAGGGAGAGAGAGAATCCCAAGTAGACTCTGTGTTGTCAGCACAGAGCTCGACGTAGGGCTCAATTCCACAAACTGAGATCGTCCTGCGTCAAAATCAAGAGTTGGACGCTCAACCGACTGAGCCACCCAGGCACCCCTTCTTTCTGTTTTAAAAGGCAACCTTGTCTTCTATGATATTGACTTCCTCTCTGCAAAGGTGCAGCAACATTATTTAGCCAGTGAAAAGTACAGACTACTTTTACAAGTCAAAAAGCAAAAGAGTTGATTTTAAAAAGGCCCATGACCTATATACATACTCAGAATATAAAAACAACACTTACTTCCTTGCCTGTTCATCTATAGGTTTGTGTCCAACATCTTTTCTGTCCTTCCAGGTTACACTCAACCTTTCCTGGGTCCACCCTGCACCAACACCACCATTCAACCCAGGAAATACTACAGGGATAGGCTTTTCTTTCAATCACAGTTCTTTTTATGACACCAATATATTATTTGTCTAAAAGAATTTGTTTTAAGAATTGGCTCTTTCTCTTTTTTCAGTAGTGTCCTGTTAAGAATACTGTCACTTGAGGAGAATGTCAAAGGTTCATCCTATCCCAATCAAGTTTTGACAGTAGGTAGAGTTAAACATCTCCCTGCATATACAAATTGATGTGTTAGAATTCTTTTAAAATGCTCTTGACTTCACAAACTTTAGGGGTGCCAGGGTGGTTCAGTTGGTTAAGCGTCCAACTTCAGCTCAGGTCATGATCTCACAGTTTGTGAGTTCCAGCCCTGCCTTGGGCTCTGTGCAGACAACTCAGAGCCTAGAGCCTGCTTCAGATTCTGTGTCTCCGTCTCTCTCTCTGCCCCTCCTCTGCTTGCACTCCATCTCTCTCTCTCCATCTCTCTCTCTCTATCTCTCTCTCAAAAGTAAACATTAAAAAATAAAAAAAAACAAATTTTATTCAAAGATTCTATGTTTAGATTTATACAAATGGCTGATACTGTTCTCAACTTCAAGGTAAAGTCCATATTAAGCTGTGAATTTTAATTATTTAAATCTTCCATGAGATTGCACACATTCCAATAACATGGTATACAAAAAATATTTTAGTATAGGAGAGTATGTTTGTGAAATACAACTTTTAAAAATAATTTTTTTAATGTTTATTTTTGAAAGACAGAGAGAGACAGAGCATGAGTGGGGGAGAAACAGAAAGAAAGGGAGACACAGAACCCAAAGCAGGCTCCAGGCTGTGAGCTGTCAGCACAGAGCCTGACGTGGGGCGCAAACCCACAAACCGTGAGATCATGACCTGAGCTGAAGTCAGACACTTAACTGACTGAGCCACCCAGGCACCCCTGTATGTGAAATATAAATAAAAGCAATCACTTACTTGTTAACTTTAAATATTGCTATCATTCTAATTCCTCATAAGTCTGTAACACTGATATAAGTAATCATAAAAATTAAATTTCTAGTGTTAACCTAAAAAAGGAAAAATGCACTCAACTAACATTTAGAAGAAAATACTGATTATATGTCATTTTGCTTTTAAATATTAATTCAATTTTCTTTTAAAAATAGCTTTAATCAAATGGAATTTGAAGTCTGCATATTTTATATAATGAAACATGATCTTACCCTTTTCTTGGCTACCACAGCAACTTTGCCATCTGCTTTGGATTTATCTGTAAGATAATAAAGTATGGCTGTTTCAAAAAAGTGCCTACACTCCTGTTCAAATAAATGCAACATTATACAGTTAGAATTTTCTACTTTCTCATGCTGTGATATGTGTTTTCAATGATTTTTTAATCATAATGCTATTAAACTCAACTTTTCCAAGTTGAGTATAACAAAATAATCCAAAGGTAATAATATCAGGGATCCGCATAGTTATTTGACAAGCCTCCTCCCTTAAATCTAACTGGTTGGCTGGATGTTTCCAAGTTAGCAACTAGTGTATCTTATTCCAGGTTCTGGTCAGCTAATGTGCTCTGGAGTATACAGGACCTGGAATGAAATCCCAGCTATCTCCACTTGCACATCTACTCTATGCAAGACATGGATAAAGACCTTACATAGACAATCTCTTGTTTAAACCTCATGATAAACTTGCAAAAAAGTATGTAGTCCATTTCCCAGCTAAGAAAGTTAAGGCTGAGTACCCTGCCTGAGGCCATGCAGTGGGGCCAGACCCATCTGACTGCAAGTGTTTAATCTTTATGTCTGCAGCTTCCATGCAGGACCCTTAAGCAACACTCAGCAAGGAGGATGATAAACAAATAGCACGTAGAAAACTATGTTAAGATATAATTTTGATATATGTAAAACTGTGCGTGTGAATTAGTAAAACTTATTGGCAATAATAATTAAGAAATTGTATTTTTTATGGGTTCAATGTAGAATTCCAACGAAATGAGTTATACATAAATTTTTATTCACACATATGTTTTATTAACCTTAATATTGTGGTAATGAAAAATGAAGAGAATTATGGACATTAATAATAAGGTTTTAGGGTTACATTTAACATTAAAAAATACCCCAAAATTTAATTTATCAATGTAGGACTATAATTCACAATGAAAACTTAAAACAAACAAAGAGAATAAATATCCATGGATATGAGAGTAAATAAATGCTGCTATCTAAAAGCAAATTTTGCAGTAAAAAATTATTGGCATAAAGCATACAAATCCGGAGAAGCAGGTTATTATATTTATGCCTATAATTAGTTGGCCACATGTAAACTGTCCTCTTTCCTATGTTCAGCTGTGCTTGAAATAATCCCTTCTTCTGGAATACCCTTTTTCTCCCCACTGATGAATGTATAAGACCATCCACTGTCACAGAAAATTCTTCCAACTAGGAGAAATAACCACCTTTGTTGCAAAACCACAGTCATGACAGGACACAGAACTTTCTTCCTTGTCTTATGGTTACTTCTATATACGTCAAAGCACCCTACAAGACTAGAATGTGCCTTAAAGTCAGGGGCCAAGTTTTATATGCAGTAGGTGCTCAGTTTTTTTTATAATTAATAAATGTACATGTATCTTATTCAAAATCTCACATGGATCTGAAATACACATTTTACCTGAATGAATTAATATAACTTACGAGTTAAAATACATAGAACATTTACATGGTGTAAGTGACTATACTAGACAATGTAAGATATAAAACACCATATATGTTCTCAGACCCTTAGTTTCTTTATTGATAAACCAGGAGTAATAATTATTACCTTATTGGTATATTGTGAGATTCAAGTAACAGAATTTATGTAAATAAAACTCCTAAAACAATGTGTGGTAGATAATAGATTATTTACAGTGTTCTTTTACATTTAGCTAATAAAGACATTCTGGGGTATGGGTGCATGTGTGTGAGAGAGAGAGAGACAGAGACACATACAGAGAGATCTTAACCCTTGCAACTAACCTAGGAAAAATAGGTTAGTGATTATACATGTTACTGTTGTATCATCTTGTTAAGTGATTCCATCATTCTACCATTTAAATAATTGTTTTAGTCTTTTTAACATAGTTGGGAATAAACTGATGAGTAATGATAAAATAGCAAAGATTAGTAAAATTCCATAATGCATTTCAGATTTACAAAAGAGCCCTGATGATAATTACAAGATTTTTCTCTTTCTTCTTTTGAAGACCTCTAATAACAATGAAAGTCATGATGAAATATCAATCTGTACATGCAGTTGAAAATGTACATAAAAGAAACTCAAAACTAAAATTGGATCCAATGGACCCTGGTCATATACTGGTCTTTTTTCCAGTTAGTGAAAAAAGAATACAATTTTGTTATTTTTCTCCTCAAAATATACATCATTCTTATGTAAAATTTCCAGTAGGGAGACACATTTGGAACAGAAATATCCAAACTGTTGTTCAAGGAACTTTTTATGTTGAAACGTTGCACAACCATCTCCCAGTGCAATAGAGAAGTGTTTCGGGGGGTAACAACAGCCACTCTGATTTTCAAAGGGATTTGCCAAAGGGAAAGTCTGATGTAATGCTGAAAAACATTACAATCATTAGCAATTTTCCTATTAATAACAGTAGGTCCGTGTTCACCTTCAGCAACATTAAACACTTTCTAAGAGCTGAATTTTCCCTAGTGAGAAAGGTTTAATTTCCTCCCTTCAGAAATCTCTGCATGTGGGGACCCTCACACAGAGTGAAAAGCAGTTAACAGGAAATGTAGATTTGGATAATTAAAAGGGCCTTTACTCCTCTTCTGGGCTACATCCATATCATCGTTTTAAAGTGCAAAAGAGGAGCTGCAGGTAGAAAATGAAAATGTTCCGAATCAGTAGAGGTGGTTATGCCTCATGACTCATAACAGATGTTAAATTTTTTTTATTTACAACCGTATTAGAAAGGAGTACAAATATTAACATAAATCAGTGGCTTCTTTTTAAAAAAAAAAAATTTTTAAGGCTTATCCATTGATGGCCTCAGAAAATCTGTTAGTATATGCTTCTTTAAAGGCGACAGCTGAAAGCATGTTCTTAAAAAGGTAGAGGATATTCCAGTTTCCGATCTGGCATGTAAAGAGCTTAGAAGTCACACTCCATCCTCACAACAGGTAAAAAGCTGAACAAATTGAAAATCAATAACTCTTCTTAGATCCCTTAGAGAAATGAGGTCACAGGGCAAACCGCGGCCCCCAAATTTGGAGAGACAGGTGAATACAAAGAATCACAACTTAATGGAGCAGAAACCTCCACAGGAACTAGTGCTGGGGTAGGAACACATGAACTGTAATTGATGAATTGCTGGAGCCTCAATGTGAACAAGCCTGAGAGAGAAAAATTCTTGGGGGACCCAGTCATGCAGGAGGGAGGCACACTTTTATGCATTTACCTCCAGGAGCTATATCGGGTTCTCATAATAAAGACTGGAGAAAAACGCCTTTGCACTTCCTCAGTGGGAAGAAAAAAGTAACCATTTTGAAATATGCCAGAGCATTCAGTTCTTAGCCGTTTGCTTTGAAGAGAAACTATTTTACCAGAGCCTAACCTATTCTGGTTTTCTCCGAGCCTGACCAATTAGTCGGGGAGGGAAATACCCAAATCAAGCATTCTATGGTTTTCCACGCAAGGGAAGGGACATACCAACTCGGGATCCCCTCTATCCATTATGTACCATGTAAGGGGGTGAAAAAAAATGGGAAGCACTTGTACAGTTCAAAGCCCAGGACTAAGACCTAATCATAGAACCATAGAATGCTTGGAGCATCTGGGTGACTCAGTTGGTTAGGATTCAACTCTTGATCTTGGCTCAGGTCATGGTCTAATGGTTCATGAGATTGAGCTCCGTGTCAAGCTCTGTACTGACAGTGCAGAGCCTGCTTGGGATTCTCTCTCTCCCTCTCTCTCTCTGCCCCTCCCCCTGCGCTCTCTCTCTCTCAAAACAAACAAACAAACAAACAAACAAAGAAATATAGAATGCCTTCCCTAGTCCCACATGCCTTACCACTACACTGCTAAAGGTCTCCTTACCACAGTTTCCATTACCTGGTACATCATGTTTGTCTTTCCACAAAAAATACAAAGCATACGAAAAGCAAAAAACAGTCTGAAGTGACAGAGCAAGTATCAAAAGCAGACTCACGTATGTCAGAGATGCTGCAATGATCAGACTGTGAATTTAAAACAAGTACGCTTAATACGGTAAGGGCTTTAGCTTTAGAAGTAGGCAACATTCAAGAACAAGTGGTTCTTGTAAGTAGAGACATGGAAATTCTAAGAAATAATAAAAAAGAAGTGCTGGGGATTCAAAATGCTGTAACAGAAATGAAGAATACCTTTGACAGGTTTCATCACTAGATTGGACACAGTTGAGGAAAGAATCTGTGAGCTTGAGGATATATTAATAGAAACTTCTAAAACTGAAAGCAAAGAGAAAAAAAATTGGAAAACAAGAGAAAAGAATATCCAGGATCAATGGGAAAACCACAAAAGTATAATATATGTGTAATGGGAATACCAGACAGAAAAGAAATAGAGAAAGGAACAGAAGAAATATTGGAAGCAATAATGACTGAGAATTTCCCCCGATTTAACGTCAGATACCGAATAATGATCCAGGAAGCTCAGAGGACAAGCAGTATAAATGCCAAAGGTAAGCGGTAAGCAAAGATAAAGGAAAATTATTGAAAGAAGCCTGGGGGAGGGTGGTGTGCCTTATCTGTAAAGGAGCAGATAGAATTTCATCCAATTCCCCTCAGAACCTGTGAGAACAAGAGGAGAGTGAGTGAAATAATTAGTGTTGTGAGAGAAAAACCCACCAAATTAGAATTCAGTACCCTGTGAAATTATCCTTCAAAAATAAAGGCATATATATTTTGTCAGGCAAAGAAAAATTGAGGGAATTTGTTACCAGTAGATTTACCTTACAAGAAATGTTAAAAGGGAGCGGAAAATGATGTGGAGTAGAAACTTGCATCTACACAAAGAAAGGAATAGCATCAGGGAATGACTAAGTGAAGGTAAAATATAAACTTTTAATTTTCTTATTCTTTAACTGAAAACAATGTGTTCAAAATAGTAATAACAGCAACAATATGTTCAATTTAGGAAAACCATCTCCTTAAAAAGTTTTTTTTCTTAAAGAAACTTAAAAAGAAAGCATAATTGATATGCTAAGAAAGAAAACAG